GGCGGCTCACGCACATCTTGTTCCCCATCTAGGGTTAGGGTTAGGGTTTCGACATTGAAGAGAAAGAGACGAAGGGATCTCTTTTTTATTTAAAAAGGGAAATAAAGGGAGGGAACTTGAGAGAAGCTGAGGTCTCAAGCAAAGAGCGAAGAAAAGCGTCACGAGAAAATACCCGAAAGGGTGAGGGAGCGGCCGAGAATGGGTTTGCTTTTTCGTTTTATTACAAGGGGTGCCATCTATCCGTAGACAAAGGGTGCGGACGTCCGCATAGAACTACAATTTTGAATAATGTTTAATCATCACGTTGATAGATTTAAATATTATTAATTTTTCAGGTGGCTATACTTTTTACTTATACATTTTTTAGTACCAGGCTTTATGCACGTGTATTGCGCGTGGTTAAATATCATGATTAAGTATATTTGGTTTATTTTCTTATTAAAACTTGTTCATCAGTTCCACTTTGATGGTTTTTGCTTACTTATATCTCTAAACTTTAGCATTGTGATTATTTATTTTCTTTAATGTTCGTTTAAATAAACTACACCCAATTAAAAAATTTATATTAATAATTAAATTAACAAGAAATAAATGGAATCCGAAATTAATTTGAATTATCATGTCATTGAGACTGACATGAAATCAGGCTTGACCTGAAAAAGTATAGCATTGCAAAAGTGAAAAACACTTCATAAAATAGCGTTTCTAAAATGGAATGAATAATTAAAGCTAATAAGACAAGATGATTGGTTAAAAGTGGGCTAAAATGACACAAAAGATAATATGGTGTTTGTTCATAATCCTTGATAGGCATTAAAATAATCATAAACTAAAGATTAATGCTAACTCTAGTACACTTTTATATAATAAAAGCATCCACATAAGCATATAAAAGCACTAAAAATGTTTATGAAAATCATTTCAAAAGATTCCTAATTTACTCAAAAAATATTCTATAAAATATTCAGAAAATAGTGCATTTCATTCCTTCTGATTTATTTTTTATTGAGATGTTATCAATCCTTCCCCACCTTTATATTTTTCGATAAAATTAGACTACTTTTAGATGCCAAAAAAGGATAGCAAAATCTTAAATTAAAAGTTAAATTTACATATTTTAATGAAAGAATATCAAACAACTACTCTTTTTTCCTAATTTTTAAAATTTTAGTCGCTTTTTGTGATTTTAATTTTTTAAGGGTGTGTTTTGCAAATTTTTTAACTTTGAGTGTTTTTTAAAAATTTTAAATTTTAAGTTGAGTGCTTGTAATTTTCATGCTCCATGTACTAGTGGTAAGTTCTCGAATATCAGAATATTTTTTGCAACTCTGAATTTTGAGTATATTTTTTGTAATTATTAAAATTTTAGATTGTTTGTTGTAAAAATTAAATTTTTAGCGGTCTATTGATAATTTTAATATTTGATATGTATTGATTAGAAGTTTTTAAATTCTAGGGTTCTCTGTGATTTTTAATTTTTGAAGGAGTTGCAATTTTATAACTTTAAGATTATTCTTTACAAAATTTAAATTTTTAGTGTTTGATGGTAATTCCTTAAATTCATTTTTTATTGTTTGCAAGTTTTAAAATTTTATAATTTCAGGGTGCTTTTTTATTATATGAACTTTTGAGGGTGTTTTTATAGTTTTTTAAATATTGAGGGTATCAATTGCAAATTTTAAATTCTTTAATGGATGCTGTTGATTTTCAGATTTCATGTTTGTTATTTTAAGTTATGAAACGTCTGGATATTTTATGTAATTTTAAACTTTTAAGGATGTTTTGTGCAATTTTTAAAACTTTTTGGGTTTTTTTGTAATACTTCATGTATTATAGCATATTAATCTTATTTTTAAAAAATACTGGCCTGTAAGTAGTTAACACGGGTGATTATAATAGATTAAAATTTGTAATTATTTCCAAAATAATTCTTTACAAATTTTAAGCTAAGATATAAAAACTACAATCTATTCTTTATATCTATCTGCTAGTCCTAATTCTTTAAATTTATCTTCAATTCCAGCCATCCGATCGATGTCTTGCGTTCGCTTCTCGTACATCCACCAATCTTGTAAGCACATCACCGCTTGTACAGTATACGGATCCAAGCATGTCCTGTGATCGTCGATCAAACGACCTGCTGTGCTGAAGGCGGATTCCGAAGATACCGTCGAAACCTGCACTGTTAGTAAGTCACGAACCATGGTAAAAAGTATAGGATATGAAACTGATCCATATACTTTCCACTATTGCAAAATATCTAAAGCATTTCCTTGACATCTAACTAAAGAAGCAGAAAAATATTCATCTATTTCAGAAACCTCCAATGATGACGATCCAAGTCCAGATCCACCAGTTAGCTCAGCTACCATTGCATACCTATCAAAACTTACACTTTTACCTCGGGCTCGGGATGAGCTCGAAGAAACCGAAGCTGCAGACTGTTGTGCAGCTACACCATGTCTAGCTGCATACTCATCATATAAAGTTTGAAAATAATTTCTAATAAGTAAATGATGAGTAGTAGCATTCAGGGTGGTTCCATCATCTAAGTCTATAACCTGTCCACCATACAATGACTGTAACAAACTTCGAAGGCCAATATCCTTCAAGCATGGATCAATAAGAACCCCAAAACCAAAAATATGAGGAATAGGCCTAAAGTACTTATTAAACTTGCTCTCCATTTCAAAAATCATAGGTCCAAAAGTATTATCCATACGATATTTCCCAAAAATTTTTTTGAATATTTAAAATTTGTAAAGCAGCTAAAGTAATGATTGGATAATAACAGCCAGATAATAACATTGTAGCATCATAAAAAACTTGTAACATTTTATTTAAATTACATATAATTGTCCATTCATCTTCAGTTATTCCATAAGTGCTACCAGAACTAGAACTAGAAGCATAATAGTTTATAAAATCAGTTATAATGTCTTTATATTCTATTGCTACACTTAACATTGCATATGTGGAATTCCACCTATGGTCAACATCTTTTGGAATTAGTCTAGGCTTTACATTTTTTCTTTTACAAAATTGTTTCCATCTTTTAAGTCTTTGTTCAGAAGCACTATGCATGTAAGCAACTGTTCTAACCTTTTCTATCATGGGTTTAATTTCAGTAAATGCACTTTGAACAATTAAATTTAAAATATGACAGATGCACCTAATATGAAAAAGATCACCATGACATGGCAATGATAAAGATGATCTGATAAAATCAACAGCTACATTGTTATTACTTGCATTATCTAGTGAAAGAGAAAATATTCTTTGTGAAATTTCTAATTTCATAAGTTCTTCAATTATTAAATTTGCAACATTAGCACCAGTATGTGACTCTTCTATTGCAATAAAAGAAACAACTCTTTTAAACATTTGCCAATTTTCATCAATCCAGTGTGCTGTGATACATAAATATCCAGTTTGTGCTCTAGATGTCCAAATATCAGAAGTTAAAGAAAATTTACAGTTTAAATTTTTAAAATAAGAAATTATTTTTTCTTGTTCTTGCTGATAATATTTTAAAATATCACGTTGACAGGTTTGACGAGAAAATTTTTTAAATGCAGGATAAAAATCATCTCTAAACATATCTTCAAATTCATCATCTTCTACTAATTTAAAAGGAAATTTTTTAAGAATGATAAACCTGATTACGCATTTCCTGGCTCTGGCAGCGTCATAGTTCCAACTACCGAGACTACCAGAAGAGGAGGATTGAGAAATCATAAATTGTCGGATATCACCTTGAAGAGTCTGGCCTTTGTTGTGCTTATCTAAATGGCGTTTGAGGTGGTTGGTGCCCCTCTTATGATGAGCTTGAAAAATCTTGCCGCACAAAGCACACTTAGCCTTCTGGGTGAGGATCCTACCGTGTTCATCCTTGGTGACGTCGATCTTCTCGTAAAAATTCCACACATCGGATCTTGGCCTTTTAGGAGCTCTTGGTGCAGATTCGTCGCCACCGGATTCGGGATTAACTTCGGTAGGAGTAGACCCAGTAGGAGGACTCATTTCAGGATCGGGAGATATGTTTTGCTCTTCATAATCAGATCCGGAAGCCATTTGATGAAAGGATTAAAAAGTATAAATAAGAGAGTATAAGAGTATGAGAGTATAAGAGAGAAGAGATGAGTTTTTGGTGTGAAGAAAACAAATGAAAACCCCCCTCTATTTATAGAACCAGCCCCTAGGCAAATGACCAAAATAACCTAACAAAATAGCCGTTTTTTGACCGTTTTTGGGGGCAAAATGGTCAAATGGCTGTTTTTGGCCGTTATGGCCGGGCCGTTTTGGCACAACGGTCACCATTGGTGACCGTTGTGGCCGGCCCGGCCCGGCCCGGATTTTTCAGGCAACGGTCACCACTGGTGACCGTTGCCCCCGGGCCGGGCTGCGGGCCCGGGCTGCCCGGCCCGGAATGTGACCCGGCGCCGGCCCTGTTCCGGGCCGGGCCGGGCCCGGGCCGGGCGCCGCTGAGGCAGCCCGGACCCGGGCCCGGAAACCGACCAGGCCCGGATTTACAGCCCTAATGTAATGGTTGTCAAGCACAAATTCAATGGCATAGCGACATCTATATACTTTAGGGTTTAAAATGTTATTATAACAACAAAATTGACATGAAAATCCAAATCGAAGAGCTTGGTTCATGAATGTGTGGATATAAGAACTTGATCCGTGAAAAAAATATCATTTTTCACGTTTTACTTAGGGGGTGTTTGACAATTTTATAGAAAAGTATTCTCAAAAAAATTGACAATGACATTTTTGTAATTAAAAATATTCTATAGATTTTCGTAAAATGTGTTGGGTTCAAAAAAAATTATAGAAATGTTTTCTGTAAAGTACAGAAAAGTACCAAATTTTACAGAAATTAATTTTCTCTCAAAATAGACGAAAATCACCCAGAAATCTGACACCCTATTATTTAAATAATAAAACTCATTGATCGTACGCATTGACCATACCCAGAAAAGAAAATCTTGCTATTTTTTATAAAGTTATTGATCATTTTCTTGTTTTGAACCAAACAAGCAAAGTAAAAAAAAAAATTAATATTTTGTTATTTCTCAAAACTTTTTCCTATAATTTTGTTAAGAAATACAAGAAAATCATATTTTTAGTTAAAAACATTTCTTATAATTTATAAAAATTAAATAAAACACCCCCTAAATAAAAAGGGGCGAATGGGAAAAGCAACGCGTGTCATTCTGTGTCCGCGAAGAATCGCAGCGGGGCCCGTAATCGTTTCTTTCGGCAGCCTTTTAGCGCGCCTCTTTGGGCCCACGACTATTTTAGCGGTCAGGCGGTGTTCGGGTCTTCATATTTTACCCGACCTGTTATCCTCTCCGTTCTTAATCCCAACCATCATCAACATTATTAGGAGCAATTTCTAGTAGTTTATGAATATTTAGATTTGAAAACTCGGTGCCGGTCTTATTATATAAATATTTATGGGTTCTCTTCACGAGAACACAAGTAGTGCCGAACTCATAAAAAATTTCAGCGGGGAATAAGTGTCTATTTATCAAAAAATAAAAACATATTAGTAAACTATGTAGTACATAATGGAAATATATTTTATTATTGGAACTTTAAATGAATTTTTACCTTCTAATAGGTTAATTCAAATTTTCATTTTAAATTTTTAGTGGTTTTTAATAGCTTAGACTTTGAGGTGCATTTTTTTAAAAAAAATTATGAGAGGACAGATATAAAAATTTTTATATGAATTTATAAGTAAATTTAAAAATGTTAACTGCATCCTTAGAGCAAGTGCAGCAGCCTCCCAAGAATGCTCCTAAGTCCTATGTGGCAAGAAAAAACTCTCAAGACCTTCCAACAAGCTCCCAAGGAAGCTCTCAAGTCCTAGTTGGCGGTGGGGCCCACCATGGAGCTCCTAAGAGCTCCACAAATTTGTGGAGCACTTGGGAGCTCCTAAGTGGTGGGGCCCACTAAAAAATATTTTTTTATTAGATTTATTGTTTTAAAAAATATTTATAAAATGTTAGACGTAGAAGAATAGATTTTTCAAATAATATTTATGCTCTTAGTTGGGAGTTTGTTGGAATATTTTTCCTAGTATGAAGCTCCTAAGTGGGCTCCATGCTTGAGAGCACTCCAACAAGAGCTCCCTACTAGGAGATTGCTGCACTTGCTCTTATGCTGAGGGAGCTCAAGCCGTCTGCCGTGGACTACAAGAAGCTGAGGGAGCTCAAACTTTGAAAAAGCTCGCGCGGGAGATCTCAGTGAGAGCACCCTGGGTCCCGGTTCGGATTAGGCATTTTGCCCGGTCCAAACCCCAAAATTCGGGTCGGACCGCCCCGTTTGAACAACCTTACCTGGGAGTAAGTGAAAACGCGACATAGAAATTATTTGATGAGCTTTCCTACAGGGACCCAAAATATAGGACCAATAGATGGGATAAATGAGGTGTCCCCCTCCTATTGGATAATGAGTTGGCCATCATTAATGATGACCAACTCATTATCCAATAGGAGGGAGACACCTTACTTGTCCCCCCTTTCGGTCCCATATTTTGGGTCCTTAAAGAATTTTTCTTATTTGATATGGGTGATTAGATATGTAATAGAACTTTTCTTATTAGCCCCTTAAAATCTTTCGTATTATTACTCCTTGAAATCATTAAAATTGCTATGAGGTTCCCTAATTTGTAAGTTGTTTTAAATTATTCTTTTAAATCATTAAAAAAAATACAATTATTGTCCCCCGTTCTTATAAATTGTTTCAATTAATTTCTCCAATTGTTATTTCTACTCTTGATTAGAGGAACTCAATTCAAACAACTTTTTTATGAGACTTGGAGGACCTGATGGGAATTTCAATAATTTGAGGACTAATTCGAAATATAACTTAAGTTTCGGCGGCCCTATTTAAAAATTTCAGTGATTTGGGGTCCTAAATTCAAAATGTGAAAGATTAAAGGGATTAATATCAGAAAACCCCATTCTCTACTTAATACTAAATGACACAATAACCCTTCTATCTTTAGCAATTAGCATAGATGACGAATACCAAGGGAACACTATTATATAGAATTACAACATGAAACAGTTGCAGTTATAACGTTCTTGTTCATAATTGCAAATTCTACTTTGCAAATATTCTTTGTAATTTATTTCTTAGGAAAAGCAGATTCTGCATTGATACAAACCAGCACATTTCTTGCTCTTTTCTTACGTATTCTCCCAGGAACAATTATTTTTATATTACCAGTATATATCCCATTAATGCCTGTTTACGTCAACGGAGGAAATTTGTTTTGGTCTTTTGACTCCGCCACGTCAAGTATGCACTACTACTACTACTGGGCTGAAGAATCAAATATGGGCAAATATGGGCCTCGTTTAGCCCAAAAATTCACGATGGGCCTTGCTTCGTCTTAATAAATTCAGCAACTGATGATCTAGACAAAGACAAATGTTATCACATCTCACTAAAGGTTTACGGAAATGGAGATAATCTACGAAACATCGAAGAAGACGTTAAACTAGTGGCATAGCAAAGAAAACTCAATAACACTATCCAACTTCAATCACTACAAACTTTCATTAAAAAAAATAAAGTAATTGTTAGAGATTTTCCGGCCTAATTAAATCTCAACCAAAAAGAAGAAGAAGAAAAGAAACTCAAAAAGCATGTAATTAATTGGAGAGAAAAAAAAAACAAAATGAAAATCATGAAAGTGCTTCATCATCAACTATATAATATATAATTTGATCAAGAATTCAACAAATAGCTATATACTTCGATTGCTAGAAAATATGGGGATAAATCGTAAGTGTTATCAGAAATAAAACCAACAGAAGCGATTGGGATTCCTTTGGAGCATGGAGCGTGTAATGGTTACTTATGGCTTGTAATGGATACACAGGTAGACTTGTATTCGTAATGGGAGTAGCAAGAACTCATCTACAATGCATAATGTCACAATCCTCTCGATATAATTATTTCGGGTGTAAGAGTGATTTCGGATGCGCGAGGATTTAAAACTAAATGTGGGTAAAACTATAAATTTGTAGGCGATGAATTGTAGTAAAAGTTTCGGAAGTGGGTGTGTTTGAAAGCAAGTGGGGTTGAACTTTTGAGTTTATAGGGGTAAGAATCGCAACTTTGAGTGTAGGTGGGCTCAGAAATAAATAAATGGAGGGAAAGTTTAGGCTTAGAGATTAAATAAAAAAAAACTTTATGGTTAATGGGGGTGAACTGTAGCTATGAATAGTGCATAACTACAGTACTAACCCCGATTGTTTTAGTATGTAGATAAATCTTAATGCTAATTAAGGCTTGTAATGGGTGTGTCTAATTTGTTTGTAGCTGGGGAAGTAATACATATGATCTCCAACTGATCACTATATTCTACAACTATATCATCCAAATACTAATTAAGGTCATTTATTTTATGTTATTTTTTAAAATAAAACATGATCATTATGACACAAAAAATTGTGTCTTAGTTGCACTTGGATGCCCTATAGTTTCACTTACTTTGCACCTATATATATACCTCAGTTGTATTTGGTTGCACTTAGGTACCCTAACATTTTTAAATTTGCATTTTAATTATAACCCTCGATTACACAAATGTAAGAAAGAAATGGATAATTTATTACTTAGTTCTATGGCTTGTTTTTCATTTCCTTTTTCCCGTATGAATATCAATGTTTTCAAATTGAAAAAGAAAAAAAAAATTGAATAAATTTTTATTTAGAAGTTCTACAGCTTGTTTCTCTTTATTTTCTCTATAAAAAATGACTTTACAAAGATCTATATGCGGACACCACATTACACAGGTACAATGTCTCAGTTGATATAAAGCAAAAACTTCCCACATCATTTCTCACAGAATCAACAAAGCAGATGAGCTAGAAGAACACATAATTGCATATTATTTCACATGCCAAAAAAGCTTGGCAGTAATTACAAGATTGCTTCTCTTTACGCCACACTCTGAATAAAAATCCAACAGAAATGAAATTCGGACCAAGGATTGAAAATATTTAGAGAGTTTATCTTATTCTGTTCTTGGTTTAGGTACATGAGGCAAGAAAACAATCGAGTGAGAAAGAATCGAGTACATATCTTACACACTTTACAAAAAACGAGAACCAACAAGACGGACGAGCAAATGAGCTGCAATCATCGGTTTGCTTAGCACCCTTGATCAGGCTGGTAGCGGCTCCTCCAGAACTGCAACACAATTTTACAATCGGATATGAGCCCTAGATTGATCATAATAAACACTTTGTTGATTTGGTAAT